GGCTGGGATTACAGGCATGCACCACCACGCCTGGATAATTTTGTATTTTTAGTAGAGACAGGGTTTCAACATATTAGCTGGGCTGGTATAACTCCTGACCTCAGGTGATCCACTTACCTAGGACTCCCGAAGTGCTGAGATTACAGGCATGAACCACCATGCCCAGCGGGAGCTAAGGTTTCTAAATGGAAGTTCATGCAGCATGGATGTTCCAGGATGAAGTACAGTGAGAAGTTTTGAATGACATCCATGGGGGTGGGGGATGGGGTGATGAGACGCTTCAAAAACTCTCTGGAGAGTGAGTACAGTAATTTGCTTAAAATATTTTCTATGTAAAATGACTTCAGCTTCAGAATATTTGGGAAAGTAATAACCTGGAATCATTTTGTGGGGGACAAGTATGGGTATCAACAAATAAATACAAAGAAAAATCAAGAGTGAGCTCATAGCTGAGTGTGGGATGTCAGGGAAGTTATAGACCTGAACCTGAAGCATGGATTTGGTATTTACATGTGGCAGGGTGGAGGAGGGTGGGATGAGAAGGTGGGGGAGTGGTAGAGGATGATGAGATTAAGTGATGCCAGAAAGAAGGCATTCATCATGAATCATTAACCAGTGCGTGAATGGTGGAAGGTGGAAAGAATGGCAAAGAAGCCTCTGCTAGCATAGTCAGTGAACAGATGGAGAAAGTTTCTGTAAATAGTACACATTTATGTGAAGAATAAAATCATGTTATCTAGATTCTAATAATGTATTTTGCCTCTGTTTCGGATAGTGGCTCCAAAGGGTTCTTTGTAGAAAACTTTGGCAGCAGCCTTTAAAGTCATTATTTTTACAAGTGAGTATTTTCAAAATCTTTACTATCCCAAACCACATCTTGAGAAAAATTGAGACGAGGTTTTAATAATGATCTCCAGGGGAGAAAGACAGTGTATTGCAGAGAGCCGCGAGTCATCCTCATTTCTCTTAGTGAAGCTCTGTCGGGACACTTCCTAGGCCGGCCTTGCTCTGGAAATACTTGGACCTTTACTCAGGACTTCTCTGATTGGTTCATGTTCCAAGACACCTTCTCGGAAGATGGCATCATGTACCCTGGATGTTTGTCCTTAAGAATCAGCTTAGCCATCACTTCTGCTGGAAAGCCTTTCCTTATGGCCGCTGGTGCCCAAGGGCGTTTGCTTTATATACCTCTGCTATAACATTTTCCGTATAATACAATTGTAATATCATGCCCCTGAATTCCTTGTAGCCGGGGCCTAGTTTTGGTCACCAGTTTATCCCCAGCACCTTGCAGAGCACTTAGCACAGGTAGGCCATTAATACACATTTGAAGACTGTTGAGCCAGTATCTCTGAAAACATATGTACAACAGAAATATCATCTAGAAATTACCTTGAGAGAGGGAATCTAAAATGGATTTTTCAGAAAGAGGAATCTAAAATTAATTTCTTTGGGGGCAAAGTCTTAGTTTTGCACATAGCTCACGGCCTTTCTTTCCTTCTCTTCCTGTAGTTTGCCTTTGGCCATTTCACTGCTTATTATTCAAGGGCTAGAGAGAAAAGGAGAGAGGCTGAAATTCAGACCAGTTAATTAAGCTGTTTGGGAGCAGCTCTAAAAAGGGTTGAATGTGGTGGGCGAAATCAATAGTGAACTGGTGGTTTGAGATCATCTATAGCTCTCACTAACCCAGCCTTCTCTCTACTTCACACCCCTCAACCAATAGCTGTTCAACATATGAAGCATTTTTTTTTCTCACGCGTGTAAACACAAAAGATGTAGTACATACAGTCAGTATATGAAGCATTTTATAAGTTCATTTCGGCTTCACAGGGTTTGTGCCTTTGTTCTGGAATATATATTAAGGCATATGTCCTGATTTTTGGTTTGGAGAATTTGGCCACTACACCAACGTTCGATATATCGGGTGGTCTGCTTCTCTAGGGTAATTTCATGGTTCTAAGGAAAGAATTTAAGAGTTTATTTTCTGAAACTGGTTCAAGAAACATTCCTTAAGTGAAAAAATTCAATCAAGAATAATATTCCCTACATTTCAGAAAAGGATTTTTAATATAGAACTTCCATCTGTGATATATTTAAATTCTAGGCCTCAGGCAGCAGTTTCAGAAAAGGGCCTCCTTTACCCTTTATTAGATGCAAAATAAATAGTCTACTCTGGGGTTGAAAAGTTCCCTTTACCTCCCAACCCCGCAAAATCTAAGACATGCTTCCCCCATTCCTGAAATCACACATGCTACTTTTTTTTTTCTCACACAGCAAACTCTGCTATTGGCATCAAAATGTTTATCACAACTTTAATTACTGGAATTATTTTTTAAGTACTCCTATTCAGTAGAAAATAAGACCCTGAAGCTGTCCAAAAGGCGGCCTGCAGTAAATGAGTGGAAAGCTGTCAATACTGAAATAGATTCCTCTCTTGAACTAGTTTTGACGCTTTAACAAAGACAGGTTTTGCCATTTAGGACGGCTCAGCCATCTTGAGTGAATACGTTAAGAGGGTAGTCCTGGACCTGCTTATTGCCAAGGGACTTTCACAGTGATTTCTAAGTTTCTGTAGGAATCTCGGCCTATCACTCAACCGAGAAGAGGCCTAACATGTTTGAGCTGTCAATAAAGACCCGCACTTAGGAAGCCGAAGGAAGGCGCAAGTTTTATTTGCCCACCTTCTTTATTACGCATTCTTACAGCCATCAAAGAGGGGAAGATGGTACTCTCCCAAAGCTTACAACTTTGTTACTTTTCATGACCTGTAGCGTGTATTTTGCCTTTTGGGTAGTGTTTGTGCAAGACCAAGGCCCACTCCTTAATGGCTGAATGCATACATTTCACAGCACATGGTGGATTCGCTGCTCGGAGAATTGCCTTTAAAAAAAAGTAAAGTGAAAAATAGACAAAGAAATCTGGAACCTTAGCAGTGTTTTCTATTTGTTTGGACTGTTCTTGAACCAGCTCAGAGGCGGCGACGGGGCTGTTGAAAAGATGCACCTGAAACAGGATCTGCGGGCAGCTGCATTTGCCACCCGGCTTTATTGCGGCTTTCCAGCGGCGAAGGCGCAGCAGCAGTAACAGGGAAGCCAGAGCGAGCCTCCCCGGCAGCGGCGGCGGCGGCGGCGGCGGCGGCGGCACCGGCACCAGCGCAGTTTCCCCTCTCCCCAGCCCTGACTCTACGCGCACATGCGCATTGCGCCCGCAGCCCTGGACCATTTGTCAGGACTACTCGTGAGACGGAGAAAAAAAAAAGAGAAAATTTGGGGGTAAGAAGCGTTTGATCGGATCTAATCTCTAATTAATCTGAAGATTTGTCCGTGCAAAAGCCATTCATTTATTTTTCTGGGTGAGGATGAAAGTTAAGAGCCCTATAGAGGGAAGGAAGCGCACCCTCGTCTTGTGAAACAGATCAGGGGAGGGGAGGGACAGAAGGGGTTTCTCCCCCACTTCTCTGCGCCTCTGGGAAACAGGAGAAAACTTAATCCCGGGGAAAAAAGTGGGCAAGTGACTCGGAAACGGCTGGAGGGGGAGTCTCTGGGCATCTCACTCTGAAGTAGTGAGTGCGAGTGTGAAAGAGGAACAAAAGAGAGAGAAAAGAGAAAGGAAAAAATGGGGGGAGGAGAGACTTGTATTTTTTTTCTTTGCGCGCACACAGGGAAGGGTGTGGGGGGCCGTGCGGAAGGGAGCCGGGGCGAGGCGGCCGCGTCGGGCTCAGGCTGGCGCGCAGGCGGCGGGATGCGTGTGGCCCCCTCCCCCGCGCCCCCCGAGCTTGTCACTTTGGTCGCTTTCGTGACACCGGGCGCGGGGTGGGGGAGCGCGGCGGCGGCGCCGGGCTCCGCCGGGGTGCGTGTCCGGGTGGGCGCCGCGGAGCCGCAGCCCGGGCGGCGAGCGCGGCCGCCGAGGCGGGGGGCGCCGGCGGGGGGCGCGGGGGCGGCCGGGGCCGCGGATCGGTGCGGCGGGAGGCGCGAGCCCCGCGCGCCGCCCCTGCGGCCCCCTCCGCCCGTGTGGCCTTTGTGCCGGGCGCGCACCGGAGAGCGAGCGAGCGGGCGGGCGAGCGCGAGAAGTACAAGTACGGGAGACCGAGGCAGTGGGAAAAGAGGCCGGGCCACTTTCTCCCCTCTCGGGCTGCGGAGAATGGACTGGTTGAATGTGCAGGCGCGTCTCCCCGGCGTGTGCTGTGTGTGCGCGGCGGAAAGGCCTGCCCGACTCCCACCGCGCACACGCACACTCACACGCACGCACACACACGGACCCGCGGCGGGGCTCGGCGGCCGAGAGTTTGCGTGGCTTCCTCGCCGCCTCCCCCTTCCCGACCGAGTGTGTGAGAATTTCATATAGATCAGCTCCAATTTCCGCCATTTTGGGAAAGTTGCACAAAAATAAACCCTCCGGTTTATTTCTGCCCGAGGCAGGAAAGTGCTTCGGGAGGCGAGGCGGCGCGGGCCCGCGGCGGCCGTCCGCGCGGGAGAGGGCGCGGGCCGCGGGCCGGGCCGGGAGCCCGCGCCGTCGCGGCGTTCGCCCCGCGCCGTGCCGCGCCGCGCCGGCCCGGGTGCGGGCGCGGGCGCGGGCGTGTGTGTCGGGAGGCGGCGGTCGCGGCGGCGGCGGCCGCGCCGGGGCGGCGGGCCGGGGTGGGGGGGGAGAATGGGGGCGGCGCGGGGCTGCTTTTCCTGCAACTTGTTTACGCCTGCCTTATCCTGGGGAGGAAAAGCGGGGTCGGGGCCGGGGCCGGGGCCGCCGCCCGCCTCGCGCCGCGTGCGTGTGCCGTTCCGGAATAATGGGCTTTGCACACTCGCGTCCTGGGCCCCGCGGGCCGTCCTCGCGCCGCGGCGGCGGGGCGGGGGGAAGTAGAGGCCGGCGGGGGTGGGGATCGGGAAGCGCCGGAGCCCAGGCATCCGCCGCGCGCCCCGCGAGCCGGTGGAGTGTGGGGGGCGGCGGGCGGGGAGGAAAACTTGAGAGCCCTGGCAGGGGAGGAGGGCACGGTGGCACGGGCGGGGGGAGGGCGCAACTTTTGGACTGGTGGTAAAACTTTAATTACCTTTCAAGTAAAAAAAGGCCCTGCGATTTTCCCCCCTCCCCCCCGTCCCGGTCAAAGCACGGCCCGCGGCGCGACCGTGAGAGAAAGTTTAACAGCGGACCGGTTCCTCCCGGGTCCCCGCGGAGGGCTGGGGGCGTCGGTCTGTCCGTCTGCGCCCGGAGGGAGGTGGGGGGTAACCAGGCGCTCTCCGGGGCGCGGAGACCGCGAATCTACCCCACCCTTTCACGGGGAGACGGAGGTAAACGTTGCTTCGGTTTCCCTTCTCAGTCCCCCGGCTGCCACCACCCCGCTTCCTTTTCCTCCCCCTCCCAGCCGATTTTTTTGAGGGGACCCGAAAAACGGAGTCCCTTTCCTTATGCAACTTCCTTGGGCTCTGTGAGCACGGCCCTCCCCCTCGCCACCCCCTTCTAACCCCTTCCCCGCATCCCTTGGCCCGATTCTTCTCCACCTCGGGGCCACCGCCAGAAAAATGCATTCGAGATCTTTCAGAGTGCGCAGAAACAAAAATAGATTTTTAATCGTTAGGTTAGGGGAAACTTAGATGAGAAATAAGAATTTGGGGTGGGGGGGCGCGGCCGGGGCGAGTGCGTCCAGTTCTCCTTTTGGTTTTCCTAGAGCGTTGTTTGTGATGTCTTTATTGGTTTGGAGAGTCCGAGAGTCTCTGTGCTGGCTATCTCGGTCGCGTGGATTTTTGCGCAAGTTTTTAGAAAAACACTGACTCGAGTAGAGAGCATTTCTCCGGAAAGTTTCAAGTGCAGCAAAATAGCGAACGTGCAAAACTGGCCAAGGGGAGACCTCTAGTGGTTAAACGCGTCTTTAAGTTCGTAAGGCCGAGAGCAAAGTTTGGCCTTTACTTGTAGCTACGTAGTCCGTTCAGACGTGGAAGTAATTAGAGGACCTGAGCGAGCAGCCAGATGTTGTGTGAAAGGATGCTGATCAGAAATTGAAAGTTTAGTAAATCGGAGCAATGAATTCTGAGGACTCAGACCCTGTAACTTCCATCCGACATGAGTTATATGGGAAAAACACTGCTTTTATTCTGGGATTTGAGATTGATCGCTCCCTGAATTGGAAACAATTGTTTGCTTTTGCATTTATCGGTGTCTGTACCTCTGATCATCTTTTAATTACAGGTCTCAGCTTATGACTTCATTTTGAATGTTAATAAAGCTGCAAAGTGTTTAAAACTTTGTAGAAATGGAAAAGACCTTTAGTTGAGATTTGCCTTTTATATAAGCTGTTCATTTTACTCTCTGATATATATAAATTAAGTCAATTTTATGTAGTCTCTTAGCTGTAGTGTTATGTATAGTCCGAATAAGTAGTCCCGTTTGTTTCTAAGATTGTAATTTTGTTTCACTGGGTACAAAATTATTTCTGAATGCTTTGTATAATTTGTGATTTAAAACCCTTAAATATATGGGCAGAAACTGTTTATATAATACCTATTCTTTTGCCAGTGTGTGTTCTGTAAAGTATGTTTAATTTTAAAGGTAAAAGCAGTGAGCGAAATTAAAGTTGACTCAAATGATCTTTGTGACTTTCACCTGCCTGTCATATGCAATAGGAATGACTTTATTGGGTGAATATAGGACATGGGAATGATACAAATGATTGAAATCCATTTCAATTCATGTAGAACCAGCTATTTTTTTTTTTAATGTATCGAGTGGCATGGTGTAAAATTATGCCTAAGTGATTCAGGATGTCAACTTCTTAATTAGGGGTTGTGGATTTGAAGGCTTTTTTTGATGACAGTGTTTTAATTTTACCTTCCCTCTCTTTAAATCAATGCTAGAACCCTTAAGAGAAATCTTGAGAGTGGACACCAATTGTAAAGACCGGCCAGATAGTTCTGTGTTTCATCACTGCTGAAAGGTAAGACCCACTTGTTAAAACAAATTGCTTGCCATACTTGCAAGTGTTAGAAGCTGCGTTTGGAGATGAGGAAGGAGAGTATGAGACTGGCTTGGCAGAAAAACATCATTTTTGTGGGGCTGCTTTGAATGCATGAGTGTATCGACACTAAGTGTGATTGTAGTTTGAATGAAACATTAGAAAGTTGTGAGATTGTCCTGGATAATCTTTGTATTGGCTTGCTTACTAGATTCTTAATTCGCATTTTAGCACCTGTTTTCTACTGAAAGTAAATTGTTTTATTTGGAGTTGAAAAAGTAGAAAAACTAGAACATGACGATTGTAAGTTAATATAAGTGTTACAGCGTTATACAGTAATATGGAAGATTCTGGAAGTCTAAATGTCTTGGGGGGGTTCAGTGGTAAAATTCTGTGGATGAAATGTCCATTGAGTGCTTTGGGGTATTTAAGTCACATACCTTCTATGGCTTAAATCCAAAATGGACTGACTTGTGCCATGTTGCAGGATTATTAGTGAGCTTCAGTGTGTTAGCTTAGGCTTGCCAACTTTTGAACATATGTCCACAAGGAGTACAGCTGTTGTCCACTAAGGTCTCTTTGGTAATTCTGGAGGGTGTTGGCTTCTCTCCAATACTCCAGACCTACTTTCAGGGCAGAGGTCATTCGCAGGTAGAGGGGGTGGGTAGCCGTCTCTGGGGTAGAACATTTTAGTACATTTATGCTACTCAAGTGCTTTTTACTATTTATGCCTTTTTTGTTGTTTTTTTTATTCTTCCTTTAATCTTCCTCTCTCCTTTTATGCCTGTTTTCCTGCCTTCTCTGTCTTGAGTAATAACGGGTTTGCTAATTATTGTTTGGCAAAAACAAAAGAAGACCAAAACTAGCCTACCTTTTTAGAACAGAACTAACAACCTTCATTGGGCCAGGTGTAATCTAGAAGTCAGAATGAGTATTAACACTGACATAAAAATGATTAACATGAGTTTATTGTCATTTGCTGCTTTTGAATCGTTTTGAATTGCATAATTAGCAAAATAAGAAGATGTGGTCCATGTACCTGATGCAGCAGAGACAATAGGGCAAGAACAACTGTAGGAAAGTCATGCAGACAGGTAGGGTTCAAGCAGAGTAAAATCTGTTTCCTAAGATGGTGAGTTTCATGCTTAAATGTGCTGAGTTGAAAACACTGCTTATTTTTCTTTGGGGAGTCACTGTGTCTGTGAATGCGAGAAAATAGGAATCAGAGGACTACATTTAATAACTGGATATGTCACCTTGTTTATGTCACTTTGCCTCCTTCAGCCACCATCTCCTCATCTGCAGAGTGAGAACAGCAGGACTTGCCTTGCATCCTTTGTTAAAATAATCAAATAAAATCAGATTTTTGAGAACCATCAAGTGTTATTCAGATGTAGAGTGGTTATATCTTGTTACCTTCGGCTTTGTGAAAGGCTGGGGCTAGATTGTCTAGGTCAGAATAGAGTGATTTAACTTTTGGCTAAAATTTTGAGATTGGTTCCTGGAGTGTGTGTTACATGGACTTCTTGGAATATTTCTACGAGTATATCTTGTCTTGAGAAAAAAGTAGTTTACCTTTTATACTGTTGGCTCTTTGAGGGAAGAGACTGTGCTCTAACATGGTGCTGAATACAAAGCCTGAAATTTATTTATCCCAAGCTAGTCATTTAATAAGTAGAAGGAGTAAATGAAAGAAAGACTTTACCGTGATGCCTAATTGTGAAAATGGTAGGGTGATGAAAGTAGAAGGGTTGGTGTGAGGGGAATTAATGTACTGTAATTAATATTTTAGTTGCATGAGTCTGCTGGGAGATGAGGATGAGAAAATAGGTAACTGGAGTAGTAATGATTTAAACTAACTATAGGGGCCAGAAAAAGGAATCCTCTGAATGACTGAATTGAGGAAAAGTCCATGTAGGGCTCTTCCTCCTTGTTTTCTCGACCTCTTTGTCTGTAATCTAATCATAGCCAACTATATAAAATCTAGATTAAAAAATTACAAGTACTATCTGTCATTATTTTTTATTTGCTGCTACTGAACCTGACAAAATAAACTCTGACCAAAGTGTTATTTTTATTTCATCTCTATGCTTTCGCAGATTATCCAACTAATGTTCTAAGAATCCAAAAACCCAATAGGGGAGGAAAAAAGAAATACATGTCCCCAAGGAATGGAGAGTCGATCCTTAAAGATTTTTGACTGGGTTGTTGGTTTATTTTTTATTTATTTATTTTTTTGAGATGGAGTCTCACTCTGTCGCCTAGGCTGGAGTATGGTGGCGCAATCTCCACTCACTGCAACCTCTGCCTCCTGTGTTCAAGCAATTCTCATGCTTCAGCCTCCCGAGTAGCTGGGATTACAGGCCACGCCGCCATGTGCTGCTAATTTTTGTCTTTTTTTTTTTTTTTTTTTTTTAGTAGAGACGGCGGGGGGGTTTTACCATGTTTGTCAGGCTGGTCTCGAACTCCTGACTTTGTGATATGCCTGCCTCGGCCTCCCAAAGTGCTGGGATTACAGGCATGAGCCACTGCGCCTAGCCCTGGTAGTTTATTTTTAAGAATTCCATATTTCAACCCATGCTGTTTATAGTAGTACAGTTAGGATGGGGAATTTATGAGAGAACTTACTTTATGTGGTGTGTGGGATATACCTTTGGTGTCCCAAGGATAGATAACTTGAGTGATCCCTCAAGTTATCTAGTTAACTTGTTACTTAACTACTAGTTACTTAACCAGTTTCTACTAGTTACTTAACCAGTTTTTTCTACGCTCTTACAGTGTTGACCATTTAAAAGACTAGATTCTTGCCCTTGAGGGTTTCTAGAGATCCTTACCCTGTGAGTAGACGCAACTCTGAGCTATTCTAATAATACTATAACAATTGCACATGGTACCAGTTGAAAAGGATGAGGGCTCCAGGAGGCTTTGGAGCTGTTGAGCCAGGAAACATGGATTTCTGGGCTAACTGATGCAGGACCATGGCATATGGTCCAATACACATAGCACAGTGTAATACATTCCTTTTTTAATGCTTCACCTTCAGAAATGAGTAAGAAGCCCTTCACCCACTGTCAAGGAATGCCTGCGTTGTGTGTCTAGGAAGAGTCTAGCAAGATGGATTGAGGTGCTTCTCTCTGACTAGTGTGTTCACAATGTGACTTTCTGGTGAAGGTCTGCTCTATCTTCCACTCTTAACTGCTTGCCACTATTGAGGGATTTGTTCCTCACAAGGATATGGGAGGCATATAATGTAGGTAAAGATACTGTATATAGAGAGAACTATTCATATGTTCGTGTGTATGTACATTTATATGTGACATCTGAAGCTTCAGGAGATCCATGGGAGATATATTTTTGTAAAAGCCTTCATTATCTAATAGGAATATTTTCAGGTTATCTCTTTACTATGTTAAATGATTTCATTGATGGTTGTGGATGTAAGTCAATAATGGGAAATTATGAATGGATTTGTATTGACTGTGGCAGCTACGCAGTGGGTAGATGAAAAGAAGGACCAGGAAAGGATATCCTTGATATGTACCTAAGCTTGATTTATGAAGTAAAATTGGGAAAGACCTTTAGAAAATTACCATTTGGGAGACAAGATAGTTTGGAGGAATGAACAAGGATCTTTGAGAGGAACTTGAGTAAAGTTAAGTTGGGCGATCTTGGATGAGGGAACTTTTCTCCTAAGTTGTAGTTTCTTTCTGAGTAGACTTGGAATTAATTAGTTGGATGGTAATGATAAGTATGACATGTATATTGTATGTAACAATAAAATGCCTTCTGTAGTAGTATTATTTCTCCCATATATAGTGTAAATCAGTGTTTTATATTCTGCTAATAGATATTTATTGAGCACCTATTTTGTGCAAATTACTGTTGTGAACTGTTTCATAAAAATCAAGTTACAACAGGGTTGGATGAATGTATGTGTTGGGGCAACAAAGACATTGAGCCTCAGTCCTTGGCCTCAGTATGTTCCTAATCTAGTTGGAGAGATAACCCATACCCATATGATGGCAATTAACAAAACAAAACCATGGTTAAGTGTGAGTGAATGGTAGATAATTGCTGCAGTTACTGTGATGGAGCCTCTGGATGTGGTATTAAATGTGTTCTTGTGATAGGACCTGGTAGATAGGGTGCATTTTGAAAAACACTCTGAAGGGTTGATACACCGTGTTAAGTGCAATTGTATATTGAGTGCCTTCTGAAGATCAAGCTAAGCTAGATGCTTTATATTTATTTATTCATCCAAAAAAATCTCTCTCATACTGTAACCTTGAGCACTGGGTATTATTTTTTGTCTTTTAGAGCCAAGTGGTGCTCAGAGTTACTTAGTAACTTGTTCATATCATACAGTTTGAAAGGGGTGGAATCAGGGAAAATGCTACTGGCATACGATTGATATATTTTTAGATTTTTGATTTTTGAAATAGTAACATGTAGAACATTTAAAAAACAACACATTTCCAGATTAATGTATGTGTTCTTTTACGTTGGTTTACTAAGATGAGCAGCAATGAACAGGTATAAGAAAAATAAATGGAAAGAAAAGCTAGCTTTACTTTCTTCTTTTTTTTTTTCTTTTTAAAACCAAGAATTGAGAAAAGACCAATTATTGAATTATTCTGAAAAGTACGCTTTGGTATCTAGCCCGTGGCCGTGAAATGATCGCAAACTGTTAGTAAAACATTACTCAATAAAAGGTTTGGGAATCTCTGGGCTTATTTAGACATAGATTTCATTTGTTCTCTTTAGGAAGAGACCCAATAAGGTAGTAGGACTAGTTATGAAAAATGTATATATAAAACAATCAGCCAATGAAAGAATGGGATCTGAACTTACCAAGGCAGGCTCAGTAGGTTATGAAATTTACTCTGAAACCAGGATTGTAAAGGAAAGAGAAAATTAAAATAAGCGAGACAATGGTGGGGAAAAGATGGAGGGGTGGTGTGGTAGAAATGTGTCCTAGAATC